TTTTCAATGAATTTGAGTTCAACATCTGCAGAATTGAGGTATTTCTGAAAAATGGTTATGGCTTTTTGGAGAATACTATACAAAGTACAGTTGAGTTTTAGCCCTATTACATTAGTTGTGAGTAGGAAACGTTTTTATTTAAAATAATACTCACCTTCCACGTTTTTTTTCCTAACACATACTTTATAGCCTGAAACTTTCCAGTAGAAAGCTCAGTATGAACACAGAAGCAGATGAAGTATTTCTCTTCCATATCTGAAACAACTTGAATACCTGCTTGCCGATAGAGCTGCAATTTGCCTCACAAATGACTCTTATTTGCAGGCTCTGTCTCTGATTTCTGAAAAGCAAATCACAGCTAGCAAATTACAGCTGTCAAATCACATCAATTAAAGGTCGTGGTCTTGTTTTTAAAACTCATCACATATTTCAATTTCATTATTACATCCTTGAGTCCCAGAGATATTTCTTTTTTTTCCCTTTACATAAGTTTCATCGATTCTTACAGCCCTTCTAGGATCAATATTGAATGCTTATGTGGTAGTCTTATGGAATTTTGTGGTTTTGCATTGGTTCTTGGGATGTTTAGTACATAACTGTTACAAGGAAAGCAATACAGGACTAGTATAGAAGAGGAGGAGTAGCATCTTTAAGGGACTGGAACAAAACTGAGTGCACCATAAAAGTTTTGGACACCAAGGTCCCAATTTTGGTCCAGAGTAAGAAATCTTGTGCTGGGAGATAGACCAGATTATCTGTGGAAGCTTGAGCTTTCTATAAAAGATGTAACTTCAGTGAAGACCAAATATGCATACTTTTGTCATTTTAAATGCATTTTACTAGTTGATAGTCAATAATACTTCAGGATTCCCTGGTCTCACCTCAGTGAAAAAATCACAACTAGAGAACTCTCAAGTAGCCCTCAGGAAAAAAACAGCAGATAAAGACAAAGTGACAGACCAAGTGCTCCACTAGGAGCAGTTCCTCAGAACAACAGAATTCCTCTTCTTCTTCTCTTACAGGTAGGTGAGAGAGTTTCATTATAGTGAACCATCCTTGTCACTGTCAAGTTTCTTCAACCAAAAACTGAAGGTAAGTGGCTATTTGCTTTGAAAGTGCTGTCAGGCAATAGCCATCAGGAAGTCAATGGTCCTTACACCACAGGTCTCTTCACATCTTTAGCTCCTAGCAAATAGTGTTTGTTCATATTTGTAAGGTAAAAGCTTTGGATTTTCCCATATTCACCATAGCTCATAAAAGGACTGCAGTTGCTACAGTTGTTCAGTGTTACTTTTTCAATCATAAAACTAGAAACTATGTAATACTCTCAGGAGAAAGTACTCATAGAATTTCCAGTCATCTTCTCATAGTATTTAAAAATACAGCAAGACCACAGCTAAACACCTTGCAGTCAACCCCTGCCAGAGGATCACCATATTCTTTATATGGAGAAAAGGTTTCCAGCAGCCTTACAACCTGTATGTCAAATTAGCAGAAACTATACTGAACAACTAGCAACAGAACTTTAGTCGAAGTACATGTAAATGAAGACAAGCCAGTTCAGACAAGTGTAAGAGTACTACTTCAGAAATATTTTCAGAAGCCTAGACACTCTTCTCTGCCATGCAGATTTTTTGAAGAAACGCTCAGCACTGAGATAGTGTTTATTATCAATTACTATTCCAAGATGTTTTAAAGGTAATTCCCATTCCTGCCGTTAAACTTTTCATATTGAGTGGTTCATAATCTGTGAAACAGGAAGAGGGGAAGGAGCACTAATTCCCACAAACCAAACTTCTCTTTCTGTTTGCAGTAGCAAATAGGCAGTTTAATAAAATTTTCAGAATCAGAAACTACATAATCCAACTACTTTCAGAAATTGCTTATTCTAATATACTCTGGGGAATGAATAATCATACTCTGAACTGTTTTAGTTATGAAGTAAAAATGACATTAAGAACTGCCCCTCACCATGTTTCAATATTGTACTTTTCTGGTGGAGCGCATGAAACAAAAGGCAACAATCATGCTTGCATTTTCTACTGCAGAAAATGACCTAACTACTAGACAGAGCTAACATACCATCATGGTTTCAGCTGGGATAGTTAGTTTTCTTCTTAGTAGCTGGTACCGTGCTAAGGTTTGGATTCAGTATAAGAATAGTTCATAACAGTTTGATGTTGGGGTAGCACTATATAGCAACAACTACAAGTCTCTACAAGTGAGGAGGGGCTCCAGAAGCCGTGAGGGAGCAAGGCCAGGACAGCTGACCTGAACTGGCCACGAGGCTACTCTATGCTAGCACCTCATGTCCAGTACACAAAAGCTGGCCAGGAGGCATGGATCATTGCTCAAGGCTGGGCATGTTAGCAGGTCATCAGCAATTGTATTGTGTATCATCACTTGCTTATCTTGGGGTTTTTCTCTTTGTTGTCTTCCTTTATCGTACAACTATTATGTTTAATTTCAATTCTGTTCTCGTTTCAACCCATTGCTTTTATCTTTCCTCCTATTCTTCTCTCCATCCTACTAGGGCAGGTAGGATGCGGTACTTAGTTACTGGCTGCACTTAAACCTCGAGACACACGAGAATTTAAGTGTCAAATGTTTTTCATAATACCCTAGTATCTGCCATACTCCTCATTCTGAAACAAACCAAGGTAAGCCTAGGGCAAATTAATTCCTATTTCGTCAAGGTAAGATGAAACAGATTTAACAATAGCTGTATATTCTTCTTCAATGATCTTAAGACAATTTAAAAATACCTTTACTTTTCAATCAACTTCTGAATTTCAAAGTAAGGCCTAAGCATTTGTTTTATGACATCCCATACATCTCTTTCTTTCCACATAAAAAGACTGAACTTTATTTTGGGACAGACACCATTCTTTACCTGCCACTATAAAGCTAGTACCATTGCTGCTGTGAGACTGCGCCTTCAGTTAGGGAGCCCTCCAGTTTCAGGGAAAAAGATGATGTTTATTGGTGTAGTGAGAAATCTGAGGTATAGCTCAGGAGTAAGAGCACACATCAGTAATTCAAGTTTTCACCCCCAACACAGCTCAGTTAAATAGCAAGACTGTCATAGCACCGGGGCCTTCACTGAACTTCACTTACCAGTTTTCAGTAACATGAAAATCAAAAGTGACATCAGCTTCAAAAAGAGGAGAAAAAAAAGCTTTTACTTCAGCCCCCTCCCAATCCTACCCTCCCTACACTTATTAATATACTCACTACTTCATCTGTTTTACAGCCCACGTATCATTCATGTTTCAAATATTTTTAAATGGAGATAGGTCATAATTGCAAATAAGTATTCAAATACAAATGAAAATCTCAGGAAATTCCCAAGAAAACTGCTGGAAAGGCTCTCTATACTTCTCCTGTTCCTTATACTGGTCATCCTCAGACAGAATACTGAACGAGGCAGACTTTGTCCCACTCAATACAGCCATTCTTCTGAGCATCAAACACCACTTTGTCCTCCGGAGCCTGCAGGAAGTTTGAGACAATGGCAGAGAAGTACTGTCTTCATAGCCCTGATAGCTCAACTGGACTATCAACTAAAAAGCCACATGATGTTTGAAAGGAAACAGAATTCATCATTCTAATTGTACTTTTCTAGTTTATATCCTCTGAGGGAAATACAAGGGCAGACAAGCAAAAATGCTTGTAAAACCGGTTATAACACCAAAAAACAGAATGCAAATCATCAGACATGCATTTACATAGCATATAAAGCCTCCATGTCTACTCCGCTCATCTGAAGTTACCATTTTTCTGTTAAATTCATTCATACTTTAGAAGATAGCTCAAAGGCTGTCCTCTACGACAGAGGGAGAGAATGTGGAGAGAAGCTACCAAAGTTAGGGCCAAACACTCTTCAATATAAAGAATACCTTTCCTTGGGCATAGTCAAACACTTGCTGACTGCTATGTCAGTGTTTGAACGTCCTATAGAATACTTTTCTTTACCAACTGATTTCATTTCAACGCTGGTTTTTAATTAGCGGAAACATACCTCAAACTTTAGATGGCAAATTTATACAGTTAAGAGCTTTCCTGCAGTAAAGATCGTACGAACCCAAACACCAGCACACAATATAGCTGCAGCCACAGTGACACGTTCCTCTGCAGGATGGCAGCCAGACAGCACAGCTTACACTGAAATTCGTATTCACTAGGATCTGATACTTTGAGCAGGTGTCACACCAGCACTGACACTCACATAGCAGTGTGGGTGCTGTGGCAAGATAACCACTGCTAGCTTAGTTTCACTCACTTGCAACTCTTGATTATAGATCAGAGCCTTCACCAGTAAGACAAGTTCTTCAGCAAGACAAAACCTACCACCTTAATAAGGACCTTGTTACTTCAATAGTAGCAAAGCATTTATGCAGTGCTACTCTCATGTAGTTGCAAGTTACTCCTGCTTATAAGCTCAACATTCTTTTAATTACGAAGTCTCTGCTGGTTTTGCCCAGTTACTAAGACTGATAAATGGCAACATTCCAGAACAGTTTGTTTAACCACGGATTTCTTGGACCACAGCCCAACAGCCATGTGACACTTACAGCTCACCACTAATGATGGTTAATTCAAGACTTCACTGGACTAAAAGCACAAAAGCAGCAAAGTGCTTTCATGCTGTTTGCTTAAAGCTTTAAATCCAACAATCTGTTTTGTAAACCCGAAGTTTCATGAAGTGCTTTTGCAGAGAAATCCCATGCCACGTGTTCCAAATGTGTCACACAGTAACTCTTAACTGCATCTCCTTATCTCACTTGTATTAAACATCATTCCAAAAAACATACTAGAACTAAATCCACAACTGTTCTGAAAACATACTAACCCCCTCCCACAAGGCAAAAAAAAGCCAGTTTCCATCTTAAAATTGGTTATAATGAACTTCCTTTTCACCGGTCTTATAAACCAAATCCTCTGAAACATGTCATAGTTAAAAACATTAGTTCACTTTTGTAAACACTGCACTCCCTTTGCTACCAATACACGTTTTTTATTGGCTACCAATTTTCAGTAGCTCTGAAGTACAGGATCATTCCTTGATAAAGTTCTGCAGCTCAATATGCAATATGCCTTACAACTGGTCACATATACTTCATATGCTGAGAGGCCAACCTTTTTCACGACTAAACATCCTGAGACAGGCCTCCACCACACTGATATGCATTAACTTTATTCACTAGCACCCTTTATCTATTGCTGCCTATCCTACCCCCAAGATCATCCCCAGTAAATGATTTAGAACATAAAAAACAGTCATGAAGTACTTCAGGTACCTGAAGTGCCACTCACAACCCTGAATCTTAAGTCTTTTATTTCATCCCCCCAACATCACAAAGTAAAATCACTTTCACCAAGTTTACTGCACATACACACGGCATTCTTTCAAGGTTTTAATGCTCTGTATTAACACCAGCCTAAAAGATAAAGATGGTACCTTTATTCTCCGAAACACATGCCACTCTTCTGACCCTGTAATGAAATATATAAATCCCTTTCAATACTTAAAGTACTTACCAAATATTGCTCTATTAAACCATCTCTCTGCTCTTTTGACATCTTCTTAACATCCAGAAGAGACGGACCCACCTATGACTGACAACTTCTGGACTTAACAGCATCTAGTGGACCTGCTTGGCTGTTAACAGCATCCAAGCTTTTTGCAGATCTGCACTAGGCAGATTGAGACTAACCTTACCTTCCCACTTCTTGAGTACAAAGGCAGTAGTTTTTGTCCTGGAATCACTCAAGCACAGCACGAAGAATCGTGTGCCCAGTACACACTGCACCAGTCAGCACAAGGCCACATTGCCTCCATAGCTCTTGAGAAGTACAAGCAGTCAAGGAAGGAACACTGTGGTGTGATCTGCAGCTGATGTGCAGCAGCCATGACTTTAACATCCTTATCTTTATTCAAAAGCATGTACAAAACATGGCACATTAAAATATGCACCACTCTCAATAACATTTTTAACAGAAAAAAGTATTATTGAAAGCAATGAACACAAAGCTATTTTCTAGTTTATTTCTGCAGATCTTTATATTCAACAGACTGATTTACCGTTCCTTGCTCAGAAGGAGCAACCTTTAGCCAAAGTAGCTGGCCACTGCTTAATAAGCAGACAAAAGAAGATGCTCAGAGAGCCAATGCATTCCTGGAGTTCAGCTGGATCCTTAGCATCCACTGTAGTAGCCTGCTGGATACTTATTTTTGACATTTCCAATGCTTTATGTGCTACTCCTGGTAGCGTTTATTCTTCATACTACTTTTACAGAAAATTTAACTTTACATGGATTTTGTCATTGATGAACGGGTACACTTCATGAGCTATAGGGTTGTTTTATATATTTTGGACCATTTCAAAGTGATTCAGTAATAGTAGGTCTATGAATTTTTAATTATGCTATTTTCATGTTTCTACCTTTATAACGAATTCCTGACAATAAGTCTTGAAGGTCATGCTTTAAGGCCAATTTCATCTCACGTACACCATGAGCTGTCTTTAAATTTACTTGGTGACCAATTTATGATCCTTCATTCCTCTGTGGAAAGCAGAGTTTGCTGAATACAGCAAATATTCTGCTACTGTGATTAGAGCACCAGTACTTTTCAAGTGACTGTTCAAAGCCCAAGTTCCAATGTATGTAACTCACTTTTCCCACTACCAATCTCTTCCCCAGAGAGCAAGCAAGTACTTCTGCCAGTGTATTCCTCAAAGGGCAGTTCCATTGTTGTGGTATTAGTCTTCTCCTGCTGAAGTGGCAGCCCATAAAATCCCAACTCCTCACACCCTCACTAGGTAGTGATGCAAGCTGTCAACATTGTCTTTTTCTTTGCTTTTCACCCTGTCTTTACAAAGCCTGCCTGTGAGCTCCACTCTTGAGTTATCACAGATCTCCAGTATATGCAAATCTGTACCCATATGGTATTTTAAAAGGGTAAATAATGGAAGGGCTTTTCCATGTACTGAAGCCCAACACTCCTTTCCCTAATACTGCTACACTTCCTAGAGAAGACAGTTAAGTGTTTGGAAAGACAGCGTTTTAAATATGCAGAGACACCAATTTTGGTCTACACACAATTTCTGAAGACAGTATCTACTGAACAAATTGCAGCTGTTTCAGCAGGCTTTTAAAAGCATGGCATCCCACTCCAGCCACGATCTCTTCAGGTGTTACACTTCCTTTGTGTTACATCATCCACATTTGTCAGGCAGTTCTGACAAAGTGTTCCAATTAATCACTGCAAAAGGAGAACAAGATCTAAGTAAAGTAGTTCATTCAAGGTAGAAATTTCAATTTGCAAGTAAGCACACAATGGTTTGTATTACCATATTGTTAATTCTGAAAAAAACCCAACCAAAAACTAAATCCACAAAGACAGATTAATACTTCTCAGAAAATTTAAATAAAGTATTTTGGTCTCGTCTCAGCATCCGGATCCGTATAAAGTTTTTCAACAGGAATTCAGGTTCGGGATAGGATCATCACAGATGAGACAAAAACAGTACATGAAGAAAAAAATCTAGTAGGAAATATTCTAAAAGGTTTCTGATTGTTTAATAATGTACACTTAGTGTTTTTTAAATGCCAACTATGACTTACCATATCAATTATGTTCATAACTATCATAATATAAAAATTCTGAATGGTAAGCACAGTCACTTTAGACTTAGACCCAGAAAATGTTTAGAAGCTTTTCAGTTACATACCTGAAAAAGCCAAAAGCTATTGTTTCTACTTGTTTTCTATAAAACACGTTTTCCTGTAAAAAAGACATTTATTTATTATGTCAGTTTTCTTTCATCACTCAAAATACAACTTGCCATCTATTTAGCCTCTCGTACAGACCAAACTGCATTATTTAACATGTGTTGCATTAATATCAGCACACTGCAAGTTCTGTGAAACTTTAATCAGAAGTGTAGTTACATCACAGTAAGATTTGTTTTGCTTCTCTTGCCCAGCTATTCTTAACCTGGGTATGAACTATTGATAGGAGGGAATTACACTTGATTATCAGGATATCTGATACTGGCAATCTGCCTATCAGGATCAAAATTAATATTTATTGGAATTCTTACCTTCTATTCAGAAACAGCATTCAAGCACCTCTGCAATGACATAAAATGCAGTGGTTAGTTAGCACTAACACGGTTTGCTACTTTAAACACCTCTCTAGGTCAGCCATGGAAGCCACTCCCCTTTCTACTTGCAATAGTGCCTGTCTAAACAATAAAGCATTTTATAGGCAGCACTGCTGCACAAGAAGTTTCACACATACAGTTGAACTTCACAAACTGGTAGCTAAATAGGTATTTAAAGGTACCTTTCTTATGGAGTAGAATAAAGTTATAGCAATACAGGAAAGTAAGTTCACACACTATATTTTAACTTTTTAACTAAAAGCAGCCTGTGGATATACCCAAGCACCAGTGCAGTAAAGTGAATTTCATTGAAAAATATTAAGTTCAGATACTTAGGTGTGAAGTTCTTAAGAGAAACCACTGCTAATATTCTTAAGCCACAGCAAGCATTTGTGAGCATTCTTGAGCCAATTTGAAATTTCCCGGCCAATGTGCCCATTTATGTTGCAGGTTTAGTTTAGCATTGGCCAAATCGCAAGTGCACCAAGTAGAATAATTTACTCATTTCCTGCTGTGAGACAGGATTAGAAGGCAGGCAAAACAGGTTCAAAGTTTAAGGGGTACAAAGAAAAACTTTATTACTAGAAGCTATAAGAAAAAAGAATAAAACTCAGAATGAAACTTTTAGAACACTCTTCCTCCCCCAACTTTTCTTCCACACTGACAAAGTACAGAAACAAATCAGCCAATTCACCATTTTTTTAAAAAAAAGTATTTCACCAATTTACTTGGGAGAGGAAGACTTCTCTCTTCAGTCTATGGAGATTTCTACACAAGAAACAGTTCTCTTGTGGCCTCAATATCAGTGAATCAGCCACCCAGGGGAATGGAAATCTGGTCACTATGTAAAAATCCCTTCCTCGCCTAACAGTTTTCCCACAACCATTATTGAGGACCATATCAACTTATGGGGGGCACTTGACCGATTGTAACAGTTCAAACAAAAGCTCTCATCTCTGAAAGCAGATCTTCTTCCCTGGGGGGTAGCAGGGATCTTCATCTCCTCTCTATTCTTCTCCTTCCCTCATCTGGACTCTTCCTTTTGTCTGATCTTGGTGTTTTCATGCTGTTTCTGTGTATATCTTTGTCTTGGTCCTTTTTTTCCACTCAGGAGAGAAAACAAAGTGACTGCAAGTCTCAGTTGGGTGAAAACCTTGCCTGAGGAGTGGATGGTCATGTGATCTCTTCTAGGTGGTGGCTCAGAGCTATTAACGATGAAGAGTCTTTCAAGGCCGCTCTGGGGCTGGGCTAGGATTTTAAGGGGCCCAGCCAGAAAGCAGTGATGAGTTTTCCGGCTGCGAGGCTGTTTTCTGGTGTTTGCTACATTCAATTCCAGCTGTGGGCTGATGGGTCTTCCCCCAGCCCAAGAGGCAAGGGTAGGGGAGTTGTCTTGCCAGAATGAAGCCCAGCTGTCTCTCCCTCAGGCTGCCTGGGCAGTGGGGCAGGCCCAGTTGGCAAGAGCTGCTCAGGGCTGGCAGCAGGGCAGGGTTCTGCTAAGCCACGGGCTCGCTGGCCATGCTGGGAGTAGGGCTATGATCTTAGCAACTGAGTGGGCCTCCCCTCCCCCTTTCAATTGGGGCCCTGGTCTAAAACGGGGCCCAGTGGGCTTTCCAAACCCTATGTCAGAGCCTGCCCACCCCTGCCTGTGCAGAGGGCCCAGGGCAGTGTTACCTTCTGAGAGGCCAGAAGGGAAAGAGAGCTTTGCTGGGGTTTGGTCGTTTTGACATGTGAATCTCACAGAGGTGTGTCTCTCTCTTTCAGTGGTTTAACCAGTTGTCAGTTCTCAAAACCAATCGCTGATTGGATGCTCACATTTGAGTGAGCCCTAGAAGTGCAAACATCTTCACTAGCTTTCAAACGTCAGCAACACTTCCTGACCATACTTGACTAATGCTTGTTATTTACTCACTATAAGGCAGAATACCTCAAGTCTAACATTTCCCCCTCTCTGCTCTTTAAGGTACAAGCTTCTGCAACGACGTATTTGTGTCAGCACAGACCTGAGGGGGGTCTGAGTGGGCACCAACATTCTTATTCACAGCCTGGTGCATGCTGGTACCTCACTTGCACACAACAGCATTAAACCAACAACTGGGATGATTTACAATTGAAAGGTTAAGTGGCTTCATGTCAGTAGCCAAAGCCTTATGAAGTTGCTCGCCAATGTATCAGGTTTGGCAGTTTCAGCACGATTCATCATTATTTACAAATATCAGTGACAGGACACAACTCATACAGTCATATATTCCACAAAACAAGCTTTACGTCTTTCACTAGCAAAGTACTATAAAAGGAATACATCACAATCAGCAAAAGATGTCTGCTACTTAATCAATAAATATTACCTCTGTTTCACTTCCTGTTGTGAGGAAGTATTTCTTCAGGACATGTCATATTCCCATAACTAGAAACTGTTCATGCCACTCTAGAAATTTGAGTAAGATCCCAAATTATAAGAAGTTCATGCATAATGCAACACAAGCCACTATGAACTACCAAATTTTAATTTTCTAACAACTGGTCATAAGCATTTAAGTCAAATTAAAATTAATACAGATCCTGGAGTTCTTTTTCAAAGAAGTGATGATACCAAAATCATACATTAAAAAAAGTGAATACACATTTTTATTAAAACATGACAACAGTTGCTTATTTATATTAATAAACATCCAGATGTCCTGTTTTCTTTGACTAAACACTGTTTCATATTTATTTCCCAATAAAGTGCAAATTCACAATTAAAATCTGTACTGAGGTAAACTTTAGATTTAGTACGAACACTTCAGGACAGGCATTTTACCACCTCCTCCAACACCAAAATCTACTCCCAGTCCCCCATGTCAAACATGCCCAAAATTACTGATACCTCAATTTTAAAGCTAATGACATAATTACTAATTTAATCCTATGTATTTTTCGTGAATGTATTTATCATTAATTTATCCCCACTGATCATTTAGAACATACATGGCTTTCAGGAAAATCCACTTGTGTGTACTAAGTATTCTTCGACCTGTGATAGTCCTTCCATGAAGCGCTAAAATTAAAAACAAGCAAAATTATCTTTTAAACTAGAAAACATCTCTTCCTGTGGTCTAGCATAATCTCTCGTGTTTCTATGTCAGAAACATAATCATGAATCACTAAAAACTGACATTTTCATACAAGAATTGAATACTCTTCTGAACAGCCTACAGTACCTAACAAGGTGAAATTTTGTAAGCAAAGAAGTCCAACTAAGAACTGAACTGACCTACAGGCTGACTTTAACTCAAAGAGCACCAAACCCAAAAACTATCAAATAATTACTTATCACTTTGATGGCAGTTATGAAAATGCCATGCAGTTTTTCCTTTTTGTCCCACTCAGTACCAGTACAACGCTGACAACTCTCTGGCACTTCCCATATTTTGACAGACAAAAATACAGAAACTAAGTTATGAAATACAAGTATTTATTGACTTGGTCAAAAACAGAAACGCAGTGTTACTTCTAGATCAACATTAAAAATTCCAGAGCTGTTACCTTAATGCACAATGTACTCGACACCACTGAAAACCTCCTTTCCATCACACCTAAAAAAAAAAAAAAAAAAAAAAATGGACAGCCTTACAACTTGAAATCAGCAGATTCTTATTACCAGGCCAGTAAGTCACATACATTATGAGGCAACAATCATAAACACAATCTCTAGAAGCAGCATGTTAAGTACTAAATCATAAATTGCAGGAGAACAGCAGCAAGAAATGCAGTTTTAAGCAACAAAAGGTCTAAGTTACACACTTGAAATCTCATATGAAAAGCACTGCAGAAATAACTGCATGTACCCCACTGTTAAACCTCAGTCCAAAGACCTTTTAAGGAAAAAAATCATCATGTCAAGGTTTTAATCACTTTTAAGAACTAAGAACTAAGTTGGTTTAGAGAATTGCTTTAACACTATATATGGCAATTATCAAAATCCACCAACTCGAGCAGTTCAAGAAATGTGACAACACATTATTATTTAAATGTGCTTATTTGAAGTACTTCACTCTGTACTACATAGATCTAATAAATGCATTGAGCCATGAAAGGTAACCCATCACTCATTTTGTTTCAGATCTCGAAAACAATTAAAGCTATAGAAAGCCTCGAGTTAAGCTTCTACTTCTTGTGTGCAATAAACTACATGCTTACTGAGTGTAATAAACCAAATAATCAAGGATTACTAATGGTTTAAGTTTCAAAAATTTACTGTTTAGTAGTCTAATGTGTGACTCACACTGTCAGACAAGCTAATTAAGCACAAAATGAATGTACCTGACAACTTCCTATGTAAATCCACCGATGCCCCAATCTTTGCTTGCTTGGAATCCTAGATATATTTAATGGCATTTACCATTCTTTTAGAAGAACTATGGGTTCAGTGACACCAGCATTTCGTAGAGGGGACAAAAAGGCATCTTAGCTACACATTAGGCTTCTAGGTGAGAAGGTGTGAGTTTTTTGGGGTGGTGGTTTACTTTCATAATAAACTCTATTCTGCTATGTCACTGTCTTAAAAATAACCCTCTGCAACACGAACAAGGTGGTTCCGCCTTATTCAGCATTTTATGCAGGAACACACACGACTGAAGGCTGTCGTATCGTGCCAGGAGCTGTCCCAGCCGCAGCCGAGGACAAAGCAGGGGCAGCACCCCTGGCCCTGACGGGTGGGGATCAAAATGGCGCGGGCTTCGCAGGGCCACGCGGGCCACCGCCGCCTACCGATCCCAGCCTGCCCTGCGCCTCGGGATGCGGCTTCCGGCAGGGAGCCTCCCGCGGGGTATGCTGGGACACGTAGTTCCCTTAAGCCCCCTTGCACCGCCGCGGCTGCCAGCATCTGTGCACGGGCGGCTACGGCCTCAGCCTCACAGCTAGATTACGGCTGCCTTTTGCCTGGCTCTACCTGCGGCTCCAACGGTGAGAGCTTATCCTGCCAGCTCCAGCCTCGAGCAGTACGCAACCTGCACGGCGAGCAGTATTCTTGAACGTCCAAATACAAAGCAGAAGACATGCCGCTCCCCACCCCCACCCCACCGGGGCAGCGGCACACACCGCATGCCGCGCGACCTTACCGCGTACGAGCACAGCTGGCACTCCGCAGGGAAAGAGGGGGTGTGGCGGGCGCTCGCCACCTTTATATGTACGCTGCGGGGTGGGAACGAGGCTGGCCACGCCCCCTGCGCGCGGGCCGAGCGGCGGAGACGCTGCGCGGAGCTGGCGGGAGCGCGCTGTGTTCGCGGGGGCGCGCGGAGGGGCGGGCACTGAGAGGCTGGCCCGCGCTCCCGCCTCCCCGGGCACGGCGTGGGCCCCATGGGACGGAGGGGATGGGCGAGCTCCGTAGCGTTCCGGCTGGGCACCGCGGCCCTCCCTGCCTGCCGGGCACCGCGGCCCTCCTGCCGGGCACCGCGGGCCTCCTGCCGGGCGATATCGCCCTCCTGCCGGGCACCGCGGGCCTCCTGCCGGGCGCCGTGCTGCTCGCGCGTTGTGTGTTACAGGTTTCATGTGCAAAACACGGGGCGGTTTTATGCGAGTTTTTGAAGGGAAGGCAGAAATCGGCCCTGGTGCAGCTCCACTCCCTAAACTTAAAGAGTCAGTTTCCCGTATAATCCTAGCGTCATTAAGGTTGGTAAAGACCTGAGATCATCGAATCCAACCTGGGACCGAGCACCACCGTGTCAACCAGACCATGGCAATAAGTGCCACATCCAGTTTCTCCTTAAACATCTCTCGGAACGGTGACTCCGCCACCTCCCTGGGAAGTCCATTCCAGTGTCTAATCGCCCTTTCTGTGAAGAAACGCTTCCTAACATCCAGTTTAAACCTCCCCTGTCGCAGTTTATGACTGACTGTGTCCTCTTGTCCTGTTGCTGATTCCCCGGGAGAAGAGGCTGACCCTTCCCTTTGGGGAGCTGGAGAGAGTGAGGAGGTCACCTCTGAGTCTCCTCCTGGCTAAACACTCCCAACTCTCTCAATCACCCACTATAGGACTTGTGCTCCAGACCCTTCACCAGCTTTGTTGCCCTTCTTTGGACTCACTCCAGCACCTCAATGTACTTCTTGTAGTGGGGAGTCCAGAACTAAACAGAGCACTCCAGGTGTGGCATCACCATTGCAGAGTACAGAATTTAGCCACAGGAAGTTGTACAGCTGCACCTTGTAAAGTGACTTAGTCTCCATCTGAATCTGCCTCCTGAATTGCTGTAGAAGAGTTAGTGCAAGAAAGTCATAGTGAAAGGTGCCTGGGCTACAGTGGGGGTAGCAGGAGCACTAGATGATGTTTGAACTGATGGGAAACCACCTCCTAAGTTCTTGTGTATGCAGGTTCTTATTAGTTGCTTATAAATAGGGTTTTTTTTTGTCTGCCTGTTTATTGAAAGGTTTAGTATATCAACTTAACTGAGGTAATAAGGAAAAAACAAGGAAGAATGAAGAAAAGCTGAAAAAAATGCTTGATGTTTTGACAAGTTATTAAAAATATGGCAAAAAACCAATGTTCCATGTATGGACTCTTTTTAGGAGGGTTTAACTGTCAAGAATAGATAAGGGAAATCTAGAATGGTGAGTTGTAAGGTTCTAAAATATTTGGCAGTTTTATTCCTAAAATTATTGAGATTAATACTACCAGGAAAACGAAATAGCTGACAAATTTTAAACAGCCCATGGCAGAAGACACTCTTCTCTCTGCTTTTCCTGTTATACATCCCGTTTTACCTGTCTGAACTCTTGAGTGTGAGCTGCAGTTGGCCCCTTTTCTGCTGTAAAGGCATGAGGAAAGAGGTGTTCAATGCTGCCTTTTTCTCTGAGTGTCTCCCACTGGCAGCTGTTCCAGCTGCTCCTTCTGCAGGAGTGAGAGTGAGAAACTGCAAGCATCGGGAATGGGCTGCTAGTGCTTCAGGGAATGCTCAGCAGCCCAGCTTAGGCTCAGACAATCAAGCAGTTTATGCTTTTGTTATTTTTCCATCTGACCTATTCAAAAGGCCTCAAAACTGATGTTTGCCACATGGCACTGGAAATGTTGAGCCACCCTTCCTTAGTGACATCAGGGTTAAAGATAAGCAAAGTAATCACAGCCATTAATCACTACTCAATTAGCCCTAAGGAAAGAAGGCCGCTCCTTACCATTCCTTTACTAAGCACTAAGTAATTCTGTATTTCTGCCAGAGCCTGTGGAGGGCTTTTACTGCCCGTTAGTCTCTCAAAGACTGGAATTTCTTTTTGGGAAAAAACACTCGCAATTAACCCCAAATATAAAGTATAAATGAGTACAATTTTAGTTTGCATTTGATAATAAGAAGCCTATAAATACTGAAGGGAGTAAGGGCTGTCCAGGGCTGTGAGGTGCTGCTCTGTAGTGTGAGCTTTGCAGGTGAAACACGGGTGAGGACCCAGTGTGGGGAGCCTCACATTATGCAGTGTTGCTGCACCCTGGCTTTTGGAACTTGGCAGAGAAAACTCCTCATCTCTCTGTTAAATTGGAGGGTACAGGTTTATTAGCAAAGCCTGAATGCACTGCTATGGAAACCTTTTGTCCCTAGAGAAATGTGTCTCATATTTCTCAGCATAGCCCAAGGTTGCTAGCACGAGACAAGCTTGTGGGTCAAGTGGAGCACAGATTTACTGTTGGTAGGCAATAATTACAAGTCTGAAAAAAAAGCTAACCAAACCAAAGTAAAAATGTGCACCACAAACATAGATTATTTTTCAAAGTAAGATTCCTTCTTTCATCTTTCTTTCCCCTCCTTCAAGTGTGGAAACACTTTTAACCTATACCCCAGTTGTCTGGATGAGTGTGTAAGCTGTAGAGTAAGAACTGACCCTTTATTGCCACTCTCCAGGGAGATCCTGAGGCTGGTCTGAACCATAAGCCTGGTTGCCATAAAGTCTTAGTTTATAGATGAGTTGCTTCTGAATTTAGCTCACCACATGGCTTCACATTCATGCACAGTGTCAGCACTGGCAGAAGGGAGTGAGATACAGACTGTGAGATACTGGGGATGTACTGGATTGACTCTTGTGTTGGCCCACACAAATGTCAGCCTGGAAGTCTGGTGGTGCAACTACCTCCATTGCTTTTCAGGTCTAGGCAACTCTCTCCAAGTCCTCTTTTCTTGTCTTAAATTATTACTTTCTTGTTCTTTCTCTTTATTTCTATCTCTCCCCCTCGCTTCCTTGCTGTTCCAATTTTAGGTCTGGCTTCCTGGATTTTCTCCAATAACATTGTATCTTTGATGACTCATGTCTCTTGGTTTGGTTTCGGGTTTTTACCAGTGCATCCTTTGGGATGCTGAGTTCCCTTCCCTCTCACCTTCCAAGCAGGAAATCTATTGTATGTAGCTTTAATTTATTCCTTTTCAGAACAGATAGTATTCATTGTAAACTCCTGAGCTGACTTTGCCATATTTCACATTATGCATCATAAAATACTTGAGTTGGGAAACAATTTAGCTTATGAATGTTACCTGATTTTAGTGTTTTGTGGATACCAGAATTTTTTGTTTAAACTTCTCAGGTCTCTCTCTTTGATTTTTTAGTCACTTCAGTGTCACAGAAAGACAAGCGCTTTTTTTTTTCTTTTTAATAATAAATGAGATCATAAAAACATTAGAACAGCTGTACAGAGTCAGAGCTAAGGTCTACCATCCCCCACCACCCCCTAGTATCCTGCTTCCAAATGTAGCCCAAAGTTAATGCCTAGGGAGGGGAGTAGGGATGGAACAAGCATATCCTTCCCCAAGTATTTGCCCAGCCTCTGGGAATATAAAGCTCAGAAACCTCCTAGAGGGTTATTATTTTTGTGTGCATGAGAATGTAACAATCCTTCATTAATTTCCTACCCATAAATTTGTCCAGTCTTCCCCAGAGCCTTTTAAAAAATTTAGCATCCCCAATAACAAGGGCAAGGAACACCAGAGCTTGATTAGTGTTACAGGAAAATGTGTCTCCTTTAATTCACTTAGTATCTGCTTTCTGTTCACTCTTTGCAGTTTTAGAAGAAGCAGTGGGTAATCCTTTCTTTCCACAGGCATCTCCTCATTGAGCCCCAGCCCCACAATCTCTTCTTCAGGCTGAGGAAACCTCATTTATTTAATAATTCCTCATAGCGGAATCAGTTCCTACCTTTGACCGTACTCTCGTTGATCTTCTTTCAACTTCTTCTGCTTTCTTTTTGAGATGGGACTTCCATGGTATACAGTCTGTTCAGGAAGCAGGTATCACATGGGCTTATGCAGAGGTGCCATGATGTTCTCTGCTTTCTTTCTTTGTTCCTTAGCACTTCCAAAACTCTGGTGTCCTTTTTTGGCTGGCGCTGTGCATGGAGCTGACATTTCCACAGAACTGTCTGTCATAACTGCAGGATCTCACGTCGGAGCAATAAAGGCCAGAGCCCATTGTTTTGCATTTGCTGTTGTGTTTGCTTTCTTTGGTAAGCAGTGCTTTATATTGATGTATGTTGAATTTCATGTTGCTGTTGTACTCACTCAGCCTTTTTAAGCTCCTGCAGCTACTTTTGCATCA